TCCATAAGCCTAGTAATTACACAGTTCAAGAAGGAAGAAACTATTAATTGATTGTTTTTATGAGAGTACAAATAACTAGTTTAATAAAACTTTTAGAATGTCGTGTTATCACATTTTAAAGTATAAATAATCCAATGAATTAGATCTTAGGTATGTAATTTAAGTCATTATAGCACAATCAAAATTTTATTATTCCTTTGAACATCTACGGCCTTGGACTTTAGAGTTAATAAGCTAGACACTATCTAACCCCTTTCTAACCTTGTTTTGTGCTTGCAGGACGCTCGGATGGTTACACCTTGGTAATACTATCTCTAACTATTGCTCAAAAAAACACCCTTGCAGTAGTATAAAGTTTCTTATTTTGTAACAATACTAATCTTGAATAATGCTCCAAATCTCTGATGGGATTCGTCTCAAAATATGACTCAAATTGCTTGAGTAAATGCTTATGCTTTTTCTCATTTGGGTTCGTCGCGTTATTGTTTCCAACAAGTTGATGCCACTATGGTCAAATCACGATAGAATCCCCCCACTACTAGTTTAGCCTCCAATTATTTTTGCACAACCCAAAAGAAGAAAAAAAAAGTAGATATAAAAGTATTCTCTTCTAGAGGGTCACAAGATGACTAGGAAACCTTTAATAAGAGCCCAAAGGATTACAAGGGAGATTCATTAGTGTAATCTTTAAATTTCATTATGCTTGCCTTCCAAATTGGCTTTTTCATTGCCCTTTTTCATTGAAGAGACTCTCTCTCTCTCTCTCTGTGTGTGGGTATATGTTCTCCGACACGTTAGAGGTATCAAATTCGATATTTTTTATATTTTTTAAAAAGTTTGTCATCCTTGTTTCTTATGTGATATGTCTTTAAATTAACTAATTAACTCGAACTATGATGACTAATTTTAGAGTTCGAAGGAATAATCAACACAAACTTAAACACGGTAACAAAAAAAAAAAATAGTGCAAGATTTAAGAATATGAATTGGATGCACCATTTCACCTAAAAGAAAGCAAAGAAGCAAAACAAGGCGGAATCATATACAATATATATTAAGGAATATTTGTTCTCCTCTTTATTATCTTACTTTTTTTTCCTTCTTATATCAGGACATGTGGTGTGGGCAATTTAGAGTATGTGTTGTTCTGGTGTAAAGTCTTATAGAGGGAAAAATATTCTAAGGAAAAAAAGTTCATGGAATATAGCAAACTTGTTTTTAGGGCGGCAAAAACAATATTAAATTTTAAAAAGACCCCATAATTTTAAATATATTATTAACTGATAAAAAATTTAAATATATTAAATTTTAAACCTTAAAAAAAAACCCACAAAAAATTAAATACAATTAAAATTTTTATTATAATAATTTGGATTTATGATCCAATCCATAACATTGAAAACCTAAAAATCATAAGTTAAAAAAATAAAAAAATATTCAAAAATCAATTTATATTTACTCCTACCCTCTTTCTCTCTCTCTCTCTATGTAAAAATAAGTAAACAAATTATAAAAAAAATTGAAATTAAACTCTCTCCGATAAAAAATAAAACAAAAGAAAAATTAAATTATTTTTCTCGACAACACTAGCACGTCCTTCTTCTTCTGTATCTCTCTTACGTAATAAATTAGAAATATATTATTTTTTTAAAAAAATTAATATTAAAAATAAAAAAAAATCCCACTTAATATTGTCGTTTTAAACCTCAAATTGCATCAAGTCACCTGCTTGTTTTGTAAAAGGCTGAAAATTAAAGATGAGTATCCCAATTTCTCCATCACAAAGTGACCGCCATTTTTCTATTTAGCTCCTAAAAAAGAAGCAGAAAATTCCTTGCCATGAGTTATGCAACTGCTACTGGGCGTTTTGCACGTGAATTCGCGTTTTGAGAGCATTTTCTCCATGATTTCGCAATTTATTTTATTAAATTCGTAAATTTAAATTATCAATTCGAGAATTCGACTAATTTATACTTGTTTGCGTGCTTATTTATTACTACTTAAATTCTTATTTGTTAAGTATAGATCTATGCCTAAAAATATGTATAAAATTAAAATGATATTTCTAATTTATGAATGTAATTTTGGAACCTTATAACCAACACATTTAAAAATTAAATAATTTATTATACAGTTGTGCATGGAGTTCAATTTATATTATATATTTTTATTAGCTTTTGTGAGTGAATATTTGTCTATATACATATAATATAATATTTTCAAAATGATGTCAGAAGCCGGCTAATATTTAACATGGATTTTTATTCCCCTAGTTGGGATTATTATAGTCTATCCCTCTCCCACTTACTTTGAATTTTTTCATTCCGTCACTATAATAGTGATCTATTTTATTGTAATTTTGGGATAAAATGACTAGGGATATTTAGCTACAACCAACTCTTACGGGTAATTTAGTAGTTAAGAATGATCTCTAATAACTTAAAGATATGATATTTCAGAGATCTCAAGTTTAACATTTCTTATACCCTTTAAGGGTCAGCCATCTTTGTTCCTTAGGGAGTCGGGGGACATGTTCTAAACCTACTGGAGCTACAGTAACCAATATCCGAGTTTGAGAGAATAATCGGCACAAGTCTGGACATCATGTAGCCAAAAACAAAAAACTGCTTTTCACTTGAATTCTCCAATAAAATTTGAAACAATGGTTTTAAGTCCCACCGGTGTTATCATCATTATTGTTTCGTAGTATTACCATCTAGTATAAATATATCAAAACAAATAAAGTAAACGTCCTTTTTTTACATGAGGTGGTTACCAAATGACATATTATTGGACGGTGACATATGTACAATTGCCTTACTTATTACGTTCTTATTGGACGCTGACATATAATAATGATAACATATTGTCTTCATCGTAACGAGTATTTTCTCGACCAATGCTTGATGAATGATATATCAATAACTTAAAAAAAAAATATTGAAGGGAATCTAACCTCGTCAAGTGTGACTACAAGGGTGAAAATAGGAAATTAGCAAATAATAAAGAATGTAATTTTTCGAATTAGGCTTCCATCAAGCCCAATTAAAATGGATTTCCGCCAAGTTTGTTTGGGCTTTTCCTATGGGCAAAATCAAACTCTATAAAGTTTTTTAGTGTGATTCAATAGTTGAGTTTAGCATCAAATAATTAAAAAGTCTTAAATTCAACACTTTTTATACCCTCTAAGGTTTAGTCACATTTATTTCTCGTGGAATATATTATAAACCCATTCAAATTACGTTGGCCAATATTTGAGCTTAAAAGAGTAGTCGACATAAGTCTGAAGACCTTATATCAAATAAATAAATAAAAATCCAACCATCGCCATATGTCCAAATTCTATAGAATTGAGCAACCCGTATGCAGAGGGTTTCTGTATCTGTCTCTTACCTCAGAGTAGTTTGATGGCCAAATCACTCCCAAGGCGAATAGTATCCTAGGGGCCAACTTGACACTAATCGGCGGATACTCTCACATAATAAGAGCAAATTGAGTTGGTATTCATCTACGAGAGACACACTCATATGCCTTTCGAGACCTCCCCTTGTAAATATTTTCGAGTAAGAAAACGGAACCTCACCTTCTTTTTGTTGCTAAACACAATTCTCGATTTTAGATCCACTTGAAACTAAGAGGAGCAAAAGGTTGAACAAAGATCAAAGTCAGTGACAATGAAATAGTCAAATTTCCAACAAATGAGTCGACATGTAATTTGAAGATACAAACTATATAACATTAGGGCCGAGTTAATGAAAATTAACCCCTTAATTGGGACAGGGTCACGGTGTTCAGGTGATGCTTTTCATTTCAAATTATTAATGACCTTACATAAAAAGGGCACTATTGAAATGCATTTTAAAACTTAATCACTTGATTGTAACAATTGACGATTTCAGAACCAATTAATATTTATGTAAATTTTAGATTTTTTTTTTCGGACACAATAGCAATACATGAAAGGAGAAAATGACATAGAATATCCAAGTCACAAGTGGAGATATTTACTCATTGAGATTAGGCCCAACAATCATGCAGAATCGTTCGATTTGTATAAAGTCTTTGTAAGTTCATATAAAAAATAACTTAATTCATATACAACTTGTTTATTGCACAAGTTATACGATTCAAACCTGTGTTACTCATTAATTTTAGGAAAAAAATTTCTTAATTGCTAATTCTAATCTATAATATAAAACAGAATAGACTTCAATAAACTAATTCGACGATATCAAATAAAATCATCTAACGGCCACAAACATCGCTTTGAAAATTATTTACATTGAATTTTTCTCCATTCTCAAAATCTATCATTTCTCACTTACGTTACACTGTACCTTTAGGCACGAGTTATCCCTAATTTTATAACAAATTGGGTCGTCTATTAAAAGAGTAATCGAATGATAAATGGGTAATTGAGTAATAAATAAGTAATTGGGTATTATACAGGCAATCGAGTGATATGCCAATGTATTAAACATATATTTGATGGTTAACGAATTAAAGAAAAATACTGCACAACTTAAATAAAATTCATAAAAATTACAATTTAAATACATATCATCTTTTAAAAATTAAGTCCTACCCATTACATCGAGTTAAAACACTTCCTCCAAACATGAGTGGTTTATTATGTGGGTTAGGCGAGTTTATCAATTTATCAGCTAAATCTATTAAAATTAAACTCAAATTCATTAATTTTCTATCGATTCAAGAATAATCGAATGGTGTTACATTTTGTCGCACCAAATTCAGAAAAGGCCCAAACCGGAGTCCGTAAATTTTAAGGTATCCCATAAAAGTTGTCATTATGGGTACAGGAAATGAGGAAAGAAAACTAGTAAAGTGAGAAAATTTGAAAGGGCGCTCAAAAGCTGTACCCTTGGAAAACAAAATATGTAGGCTGAGAATGCTGTGAAGTGGATTCCGATTCTTCATCGACGCCAAAGCTAGGGTTTTGTGACTTCTGTTGAGGCTTTTGAGGACTGACTTGATTGGTCATGGATCGGCTGCGTCCTAGACAGAGAGAGGTTTTCACTGGCTTTACTGCAAATGAGGTCAAATTTCAACCGTTTCTCTTTTTTTTCCTCCTCAATCTGGGTATAGATTAATCATTTTAATCATGTGTAAATTTGAATGATCAGCTGTTAGTTTGAGTTCTTTAATCTATTGGGTCAGTGAAAAAAAATGTATAAGAATGTTAAATAGACGTGGGTTTTGATGGCAAAGGCCTAGAATGAAGCTGCATGTTAACGGCAGGTAATGTGGCTCGTAATGAACCGTTCAAATCAGGCACACATGTTCATAAAAGCCTATTCCCTGCTCATTACTGATCACGCCTTCTGTTGAATGGCTTTAGTTGAAACATTTATCTGTTAATCTTGCCTTATTTTAGCTGAGTTGTTGAGAAATTAGTTTCTGAGTAGGGGGGATTGTGGGTATCAGTGTGCTCTTAACGGAATATGTAATGTGAAATTAGTAGTCATAACCCGGCCTTCTGGCACGATATAATATAAAATTTGAGCGCCCAAAAAATCGATCTCATTATATGAAATAATAATGTTTCTTTTCTACTATCCATTAATTTTAAAAAAAATGATCATACTATATTTAATTACATAATTTAAAATTAATTTCTATTAAAAAAAATGGACAAAATTTTTTCAAAATACATGACCTCAACAAAAATATCACACATGTTTGAAATAAATATTGTATTGAGTCAAAAAATAATTAAAAATTAAATGAATTAATTTGTTATAGAAATGGGTGATGTGATAGAAATGAGCAGAAAACATATATGGAGATAAGATTCAAACTTATAGCTTCCTTATTATATAGACTATTTTTGGTCCCAACTCCCATTTTTTTGGAATCCAAGTTCACTTTTAAATGGTTCTTGAGAAAGTGTATGGATGTGAAATTTATGTTTGTTATGCTGATATTCTGGGTTTATGTGGTACAGTTGATATATTTCTTGGCTTGTGGTAATTATGTCAATACATTTTTGGCATTTGCTTGTGATGGAACTGTTAATCATTTTAAACCTGTCCAAATTTTAAAGAAGAGTTGTTGATCTTAGCTGGAATGACATGCATTTATTTATTAGTCATTAAGGTCTTGCACAAATCTGGAATATTAGTTGCTAATCTCGGTTTCATATCTGCAGTCTAGAAGGAGTGTGTTGGAATGCTACATTTGTAAGTGGTATACTGATGCATATTATGTCTATGTTTTGTTTTTATTTGCATGAATCAGTTTGGTTGTAGTTGCAAGATCTTGAATTCTTGTACTTGATTACCAGAAAATGTGGGTATTAGTCCATTACTGCCTCATTGGGATTGTGCTATTAGCTGCAAATCACACTTAGCAGCTAAGGGAATGTGAAAAAAATGTTGGGAATGGCAGATATTGTTTGTAATGCTGATGCATTATTTGGTACAATTTAAAATGTGAATCAATTTGTTATGTTGTAATTGTGATGCCATAAATTGTGGCCTCTGTTTTGGGGGTGAAAATGTGGATATCAATTAATCATTCTGATTTGCACAAAGTTGAGATATTCCTTGTCAGTGCTCAAATCTCAATTTAGTGTTTGTAGTTTGTGAGACAGAAAAAAGTATGGAAATGATTCATGTCTGGAGTTACTATTCTCATATCATCTTGCCTCCCAAATGTTTGTGCGTATTGGGTAGGATGGGAGCTTCATTATTTCTTATGTTTTTGGGAATTAATGCAATTGAAATCACTAAAAATCCATTAGTTTGCCCTTTGTTGCTGAACAATGTCAAAATTAATTCATTCTGGAGTTAGTAACCATTTTGTGAGTTGCAGTATAGTTTTGATGGGAGCAAGGGCATTACTACCAAACCTTGTTTTTTTGGTTTTTTTTTTCACCCGTTATTCTTGCTAAGATGCATGATATAACAAAGTATCTCCTCCCAACTGAAAACAGATTGAGAAAATGGAGACATTACTCAAGGAATGTGGAGAACAGTCTTTGGAGCAGGAATTTTGTAAAAAACTTGCAAAAAATTTCAAGTGAGTTATATTTCATGTTCCTTAAATAGTCCTCTATTAATCACCGGTTGTTTGGAAGTTTAATATTTCAATATTTGTTTTGGGTTAATTGGTTGTGTGGGATTTAAGTTATTTTATTATTTCTTGTCATTCTTGCAGTTGCTGTAAAGACCGTGCTGGAAAGCCGAGTGTGAAGTGGACTGAGGTCTCCACTCTCTTCATCTTCTGATTATTACAATTAAATTTAATTGCATTGTTTGTGCTTGACTGTCTGAGGTACTCCTATGTTTACATATATATTTTAGGTGCAAAGTTGGTTCCAGAACAGGCAGAAAGATTGTCCATCCAAAAATACTTCTCCTGGTGCCCTCAACAAATTGTCAATTGTACCAGAAGCTTGTCCTCCAGAAAAAGCAAATGAAAATTCTCAAATGCCTAAAGGTTGTTTATATGACTTTCAGTTGTGAGGACGTGCTTGCAAGTAGTTGCTTGATAACTTCTTCAAAATATGCTCATTTATTGGCCTTAAACTGTTGTTTCCATTGCAAAAGAAAAATCAATGGTGTTAAAGCAAGTAGAGATCCATGGCCAAAACCCCTCTCCTCACATGCTTAACTTTTCTTTTTGTGCTTAACTGTATGTGATTTCATCATTCACATTACTATTGCATGTTCATCCCCTTAATATTTTAGGGCTTCAAACTTACCAAGTCTTGAACCACTTATATCTGTTTTTGCATGTGTTGAGAGATGGAGAACAAGTGTTAGCCCAATACTAGGTTTGATAGATTTGATCAAACCAATTTTGATTCGGTATTAATCAAGACTCGAGATTGTTCAGACAGGTTGACAGATTTGCTGTCAGTTGTTCTCTGTATCTGCTTATACTTATAGTTAGCATTCATCTAAGGCCGTCCTCTGAACTAACGATAATTTTATTTTTACTCTCTATCTTTTGTGGCGTGAATGGCCTTTCCTCATATTTTAAATTTATGCTCGCTTGCCCTTTATTTTGTACCCATCAATCATTTACCAGGAAATTACTTACCGAAATTGAACAGAACTGCTACATGTTTTGGAGAATGAAGTTAATATTGCCTGGTTTTGACAAACATTGTTCTCAATTCAGGTGAAAAGACTCCAGATCTATCAGAATTGGAATTTGAGGCTAGGTCATCAAAAGATGGGGCATGGTAAGTCTACATATGGCAAGCAAGAAATGTGATAGTCCTCTCTTCTGTTTAAATTATCCATATGGTTCCTTGGTATTGTATCATTACCTCCTTGGATTTATCCATGCATGTCTTTTTATTTTAGTCCTACCAAATGGTTATTCGTAACCATTAGTGGAGTGTAGATCACATAATCAACTTATATAAATGTAATGGTGCTCAAGAAGATTGTATTGTTTGTGTTTGAATTGATGCAATTGTTGCATTAATGGCAGATGATCTCCTTTTTATCCATTTGACTTCCATGGGAATGTTGCTATGCTGTCTACATATGGCAAGCAAGAAATGTGATAGTCCTCTCTTCTGTTTAAATTATCCATATGGTTCCTTGGTATTGTATCATTACCTCCTTGGATTTATCCATGCATGTCTTTTTATTTTAGTCCTACCAAATGGTTATTCGTAACCATTAGTGGAGTGTAGATCACATAATCAACTTATATAAATGTAATGGTGCTCAAGAAGATTGTATTGTTTGTGTTTGAATTGATGCAATTGTTGCATTAATGGCAGATGATCTCCTTTTTATCCATTTGACTTCCATGGGAATGTTGCTATGCTGTCTAATGTTGACTTCTTAAAATTGGTTTCCAGATTGTTGTAGTAATTGCTTGTTCTCTAAATGCGTCAATTCATTTTGATAAAGTCATGTATCAATAGCATAGCTTTTGAGGGTGCCTGCCAGGCAATGGCCCCCCCCCCCCCCCCGCGGTAGAATACCCATAGTTGACTGCTAGATTGACTGAGAATTTGATGCCAGTTCATACTTTAAGAGGTTTGCCACTTGGTTTTTCAAGGTTCTAACAATGTCTTCTAAACCTAACTTATCATCATTTAAATGAGGGCCCAATCCATTCATCTGGTTTTGTTCTTACATTTGTACCTGTTGACTTCATACCATATCTAGTTCTTTCAGTTTTTCCTCCTAAGATGGCTTAAATTGGCTGACATATACTCCCTTATAGTTGTAAATGGGAAAACTGGCTCCCCTTGCTCTACTAATTGGTATGATGACCAGTAAGAGGAAGCAAGATAGTCATATTAACCGGAGCACCCTAAACTGGCAACCTAGCAAGCAAGCAACTGCACAAGAAAGCTCAGCCAAAAAGTGAATGTGCAAACCTGGTTTCACTTGTTGCTGTCATGCTGTTACATATTTTCACAACAAGCTGGCTTGTCCCACATAAACTTGCAAAAAGTGGAAATAAAATCTTGTTTGTTGGTCACTGTGATATATGTTCGTACTAGCTTGCTTAATTTGGTTCTCATATTGAATTATCTGATCATTTTCAAAGAATAGTTTGGGTCATGTTCACAAGTTATCACCCCTTTCTTTTCTTGTTTTTTTTTTTGGGGGTTTTACAGGTACGATGTGGATACATTTCTGACCCACAGATTTCTTAGTTCAGGTGAAGCTGTAAGTAATTAAAATATGATTCACTGAATTTTCGGTTATTACCGTTTCTATATTTTCCTCAAGTTCCATTGGGTGGTCATTTTTGACTAGTGTTCAACCTTTGATATCATCAGCATAATGCTTTTGGTTGCCTTAATTATTCAACAGTTTCACACATTTTCTATCAGGAGTGTGCTGCTTTGGCTTTGTCATGCTGGTTGTAGTAGCTGCCCTCCTATTCTCAATATGAGCGCTGTTGGTTTTTAGAGGCTTGCTGCTTGACCATGGTTTTAAGTTTGCTTTAAACTAGGCTGGTTTTTCATTTAGGACAAGGAATGAAGTTTCAAGGACCATTGAAATCTATTATGTGGAGAATCAGCTTCTATTTTGTTTCTGTTTCTTTACTTCCTTTATTTATTTCTTATGCTTTCTGATGTTTTATGGAGCAAGAAAGTTTTACTTCATGGTGTGGAGCATGTCATGAACTATGTGATTATTGGAAAGAGCAAAGAAAAAGCACTATAAAGAAGGCTGGAATTGTCACTTTCTTTGTGCCAAGCTCAAGTTTGATGAATTGTCATTCATTGCAGGAAGTTCGTGTAAGATTTGCTGGCTTTGGGGCAGAGGAGGATGAATGGGTAAATGTGAAAAAGGCAGTGCGCGAACGCTCTGTTGCTTTGGAGCATTCTGAATGCCAGAAAGTAAAAGTTGGAGATCTCGTACTCTGCTTCCAGGTAATTTGAATTTCTCTCTTTTACATTTCTTAATCTCCCGGAAAGTATCTTGAGACTTAATCACATGCTCACTTAATACATTATCAGGAGAGGAGTGATCAAGCAAGATACTATGATGCTCGTGTCCTAGAAATTCAAAGGAGATTGCATGATATAAGAGGCTGCAGGTGTCTTTTCTTGATTCGATATGACCATGATGACATTGAGGCAAGTGGTGTTGAAACATTTGTTACGAGCTTCACAATCTTCCTGGTTTTCTTACATTGTCTTAGAATTTTACTGGTTGTCTCTATACTGAGAGGAAATGCTTAGCTTCAGCATCTGCTGTTTGTTTTTCTCATGCTTCAGGAAAGAGTTCGTTTACGGAGATTATGTTGCCGGCCAACATATTAAGGCTTTCAAGCAAATGCTCAAATTTTGTGACCCTCAGTCTGGCTCATTGCCATCTTTTGTACTCAATTAGATGAATACATGAATGAAAAAAAAAAAAAGGTATATCAGAGTTTAAGGAGCATAGAAGGAAACCTGTGTGTTTTCGGCTTTTCTTTGATCTTGAACTCATTCTATATTTTATGCTGACCGTAAATACTTATATTGTGGAATTTGTGTAGTTTCAATGGCAATGTGAGGATGTGCTGGTCATCATATGTTTCCGATTTGTTTTCTTTCTGTCATTGATTTAAGGTTTCATTTTCATTTGTGTGTACGTGTGTTCACTTGCCTTATTAAAATTCTCTTCAATAAATAAATAAGGTACCATTTGATAACCATGTGTGTGTGTGTGTTTTTTTTTTTTTCACTTTTTGCAAAAAAAAAAAAAAATGACGTGTTTGTGATTTTTTTTTTGTCGCATTTTTTGAAAACAAGGTCCAAATCTTTAAACCGAAGCCGAAGAAGCCGTTCCTCTCTCACGATGGTTTCTCTCTTCTGAAATCGAAGTCGAAGACGAAACCTACATCATCTGTTTCTCTCGTTCTCTCTTTGTGTGTATATGTATGTGTGTGTGTGCTGTATATATAAATCTGTGTATATATGTATGTGTGTATCTTGTGTGTGTGTCTATGTGTCCCAGCAAGAGGTCTCGCCCGTGATTGTGTTCTTGTTAACATCTCCAATTTTTTTTTTTTTTGATCACAAAGAATATCTCCAATTGAGAGATCACCAATTGAGGAATTTAGGATTAAAATATTAACCAAAAGAATATCAATAAAATATTACCTAAAATATACAATACCAAACATATTGTTGTTTTTTTATAATTTTTTGAATATAAAACATATTTTATATATTTAATTTTTATCAGAAAAAAATAAAACTAGTTCTATTATTTTTATAACAAAAATATAAAAACAAAAACGTTATCAAATGTACCCTAAAAAAATAATTTTTTTTAATGAACAAATACAACGAAATATATGTTTATTTTGAACATACTTTATTCAATATCATCCTGCAGTCGGTTGAGTTCATGTCCAACAATCTTTGTGGGTTTTTTGTAATAACCATGGGGAGAGAGAGTAGTACTTATTGGGCCATGGGCCGTGTTCATGATGTATCCGAACCCAAAGTATCCATACACTGTGTAACTTTTTAATCTAGATGAATTGATTGAGTGTTCATGGTAAGAATTTAGTTTGGTCATAAGAGTTAAGAATATCATTATAAATCAAACATAATTCAATTATATAAATTCCAGCTTCTCAGAGGATTGCCTTTGGTGGTGAATTGACAATTGTGAAGAGAAAAGTGCAGAAGGGTTCATGAAGAAGGCTGCTTGTCTTGAGGATTTGCTTTGTTTTAAAGTGGTAGGCTTCTGGGAGTTTGGTTGGACAGGAATTGTTGCAACAGTTGAATATTGATGTAAGGTGCAGGATGCAGGTGAAGAGTTTATGGGTTAACTGGTGTCCTCCAACTGGAGTAGTTGAAGTTGAATGTGGATGGGGCAGCTAAGGGGAATCCAGGCAAAGCTGGGGTGGTGGGGAATTTGGTCCTTGTAGGTTCTTTTTACTATGGAGAATGCTCCAATATGGAGGCCGAGCTGAGAGTATTAAAGGATGGTTTAGTATTGTTTGAGTAATATGGCTTAACAGATTATCAACTTCAAATTGAAGCTGATTCTGCTGTTATGGTGCAGATGGTATTATACGGGCATTTGAAAGCTTAAAAATTTTGGCCTTTATTTAATGAGATTATGGAGAGGTTGGGGAGACTGAATTTCAGCTTGGTATATGTGTTTAAAGAAGCTAATCAAATGGATTATTTCTTTGCAAATCAGGCTGTTAGAGATGGGGCTTCTACTGATTTTTCCCAGTAATTGCGGATTCCTCTTCAAGCCAAGCTGATCAAGTGGCAGGACAGATAGGGAGTGAAGTTTTTGAGGAAAAAGACATGCATTCTTTGATTTTTTTGGAATTTTGTATTGAGTTGATCGTAAAAACAAGTCTGTCTGTCTTTTTCTTGATTATAATTCTTTTTTTATAAAATAAAGTGTTGATTTGTTTGAAAAAAAAAATATCAAAAGTGACATGTTCATCAAGTCCATCCTTTAGATGAACTTTATTTTAAGAAATTGCGCCAAACACAACCTAATCAAGCATTTCAACCTAACTAGCTCAAGATGCTAGAAAAACACGAGGGACAATAATAGTTTGATGAGAATGTAGCAGTGCATTGAAGAATAGAACTTGAAACTTGGTAAGTGCGCCTTACCCCTATTTATAGGCTCTTGGCCTCCAATAAATGGCTAAGATTTTGCCACATGACAACTATCAAGAATGTCTCTAAAATTTTTTATACAAATATTCAGATTCTTACATATAAATAATACTCTGGGTTTTTCTAGACAAGATAAAAAAAGAAGCAACACAAATAGCCATAATAACTGTCACACCCCACCTCCAAAATATAAGCATAGGCTTAATTAGTTTTTTTTTTTTTTTTCTAGATGATGCACACATACGTTGTACGTGGACCATTCTCAACTACTGTTTTATATTTTTTTGTAGTTAACAAGAAGTAACCCTTGTTAGGATAAAACATTTATACCCATACCATTACAAATAAACTAAAATATCTTACAATTAATATTTTTTAAAATTTGTATGTGCGTGCTTTATATAATGTGGTTTGATGGTAACTGAATTATACTTTTATCTGGATTTAGTGGTCAAAAGGTGAAAAAAAAAAAAGAATACAAGCTTGGACCCATAAATTCTACAAACAACAATAAAATTCTAAATATAACTATCTTTATCTATTATTTATATCCATACCACCATTTTCATTTCTCAATCATGCCAAAAAAAAAAACATTTTAGCTAACTAAATTATCTCAATACTTAAAACTGCATAAGATTGCATATAGGCAAATCCAATTAAAATCCATCAGTCTTATAAAATTGTAAAATAACTTTAAGTATACAATACATGAAAAGAAAATAAAAGAACAAAGTGAAAGAAGTTTTCACTCGCCAACTAAGAATTTTTTTAATGGCTGCACTGCTAAACTCATTGATATATAATGGTAATGTTTATTCCACTTTTTACATATTTTATATTTTTTTATTATTGTAATGTTATATTGGTCACTATTATTGTAATGTTATATCATCGTCATATTAATATTACAATAAACTTGCATAGGAAAATTTACTCAAAATAGGTTGCCATGGACCAAGCATACTCTCATAGCGCCCAACTTTGTTATTGACATGAATAACCAAATGGTGACCATAATTAGGTTGTTGTTTTGAAAGAAGTATTCCTATTTCAAATTGCTTAGAAATTTCGTATTGACTTTATTACGTTCTCAATATCCATAATAGATGTCCACAAACAATTTTTTACAATGAGATAGAAACTGATTTATTTTCATAACATGCCCGCAACAAATAGAACTATGAATAGAAGAACCGGCACAAAATTTGGAGGATAAAAATAGAAGAAAATGCATAACTGTCAAACACTTAAACCAATATGTTCATTTGTATTCCATCGTCCCAATCAATTTTTCTTCAAGTGGAAATGACATGTTTTCAATACACCAAAAACTATTTGACTCTAAGTGCAAATTAATCCATACGCACTTTAACTAATCAGTCGAATCAATTTATTGTAATAGGTTTCTTTGCCTCCCAGATGCAAAAGTATTATGACATGCAAAAAAAAGAGAACTCTATGAAAAATGACAGAGAAAGTGCCCATAACCACCAACAAACTACTCATTGAGATTAGTACCTTGTTGGAGATATGGATCTTTGACCGACAGACACCTTCGTAAAAAATCATGCTTACAATTGATCAGTCACAAAGAAAACAAATTGCAAGTTTGACATACTGCTAGGCTGCAAAGTCCAAAGAGGATGAAAAGAGTCAATCAATGCAGAAGAGAAACAAAACCAGAATAAAGTTTGAGTTCTAGAAGTGATGAGTTCATTTCAGGAGCAATTGCTTTGGTTGGGGAAAAATGAAGGGAATTTGAATAAAATATATTAACAGTACTCCTTAAAAATTAAAATATGGTAAATGAAAAGACTACTGAAAACCCTTATAAATTATTGCAATTATACCTCTATTATTTAGAGAAAGAAAAAAGGATGATGCTTCATGAAGAGAGGCCATTCAACTTCTGAAAAGAATAACTGTTGCCCAGTAGACACCCAAATGGTTTGTAACCATCACCATTCCACAAAATATTATTTAAGTCATTAATTTAAATCAATAGTATTGTAATTATTTATTTTGCTAAGGTTAATTCAGTCAATCAAAAGTTTTTCAACTATAGTGATTTTTAGAAGTAGTATAAATTTTCAATTTTATACATTATGCTCATTGATTTTTGGCATTCTATCCTTATTGAATTTTTAATATTAAACATGTTGTAATTAAACATAAATATGTCATATCATTTTTATTAATTACAAGGCAAAAACTAAAGTTTGTTAAAGCATCGAGTGCCCACCCAAAACTATTTTTTCACTCCACCCCTGCTTAGAAATTTAGTACATTTATTTGTCATTCAACTTAGAGTTCTTTCTTTCAAAAAAAAAAAACTAAACTCTAAGGAGTTTTTCGCTATACCCATTTATTTTAAAATCTTACTTCCCAACTTCTGTTAGTTTTGGTCTTATTTTTCAAAATCAAGTATTTTAAAAGATGTCATTCTGAATAACGTCTTTTACGTGGAAATTAGTCCAAATGACATCTTT